ACAATTTATAATCTTGATACCTTTGACTATTTATTTTGTAAATCCTGTTGTTTACCTATGCTCTGTTTGCTAACTCCATGTATTCCCCTATGCCAGGACTGCCATGCCTTATGGAGGTTTTGAAAAAGCAGCCAAACGGATGACCTTCAAAGTGCCTCAGTTTGATATCTGCCCTTTGCTCCCAGAATCTCTCATGATATATAATCAAAATTTCAGCAAAAGACCCTCCTTCAACAGAACCCCAATTCCTTGGATGCCTTCAGGAGACTTCTCAGAATACCAGACTGCAGTCAATGTGCCAATGACTGGTGAAACAGAAGAGTTGTAAATCCCCACTGCCATGACCTTCCCTTTTTTCTCAGCCCTTTCTATATGCAGGTTGATAGTAAGGAGTGGAAAAGTGCAACTCTAGTTCTGTTAGCTCTTTCTTTCTTTTGCCTATAGCCAAGACAAGTCCCAAGCAGGTTCTTAACTTCTCTTCACTGTATTGTTAATCTATCAGACACAGTTTGAGGAAAAGCTGCTTTTTATTCACCAGCACGTAAGAGGCCAAGACTAAGGAAGTGTTTTTCTGTTTAGCAATGCTACATGCTGCCTGTCTGTTTGATAATAAACCTGTTTTGTCATGTGTTAACAAAAAATAAAACACCAAGATGAAAAACAGCTTTTGTGTTTTCTCCTTAAAAAGTGTTGCTGAAAGAATTTGGGGATTAGCATTTGGGGAACAACAAAGGTTTCAATCTCACAACAAGACTATTAGCCTGGGGTGAAAGATCAGGGACTAATGGGGATGGTCATAAGGTTTATATACATCCAGATGGCTTGGAAAAATATTGCCAAAGTGATGGGGAAGAACAATGACTTTGAGAGGAAATTAGAACATCAGAAATGAAATAGTAAGTCAGCAAAACAAACAGCTTAAAGTATCTCACTGAGACCTAAGATTCCCCAGTTCTCCAGAGTATAAAGAAGATGATAGCTTAAGCAGTTTTTTGGTTCTTTTTTTTTCTTCTTTTTTTTTACGGCTAACATAAAGTTAATAGGTTGGGAAGCAACAGAGGCACACCCAAGTAAGATGGCTTGCCCATAGTTACAGAGCAAGAAAACAAATGCTTTAATAACAACAGAGCTAATTTGACACCTATCACAGTGCATTACTTATTCAAAAACACACCCTCAAAGTCTATTCCATTTCTTGCAGTAGTTTCAGCAATGCCACACAAATAGGAAGAAAGGCAGGAGCTGTGGAAAACCACTAAAGAATTCCTGCCTGGAGACTTGTTTGGAATTCTGTTCTGGAGCCTCAACATTTCCTCCTGTAAGCAGGGCTGAACAGCTTATTCATGGGGACAGCTTCCACTGAAATACTTCTAATTTAGGAGTTTTTCCTTCTTGTCTAGAAATTCCTGCAGCCGTGTATTTGATTTTTATTCTGTTGGGATAGTTATGTGGTTGGCTTTATTACACACCTCTATAAAGCTACTGACAGGGCTACTGTGAGATCTCTGTAAAATTATGATAATAATAAGCATTGCTAAATGTTCTTTAGCAATGGCTAAAGAACATTTATTATATATCCTATTGTATTATTAAGAGGTATCCATAATTCAGTTCTGTCACTAAACTTAAAAAAATTAAGGTGCTACTTTGATCTGAAGAACATTTCAACAAAAATGAAAAAGCTCTGTTTCAGCTGTTTGGAGATAAGGTTGCTGTTTTCCAGTATTTTAAATCAATCTGCCTTTTCAATTGCATTGTAATTAGTGAGGATGGATTTCTTTTTCAGTTCAAAAGTACTTTAATACAATAAACCAGTCCACAATGACAAAGCTAGAAATTCAGAAAGTCAGAGGAAATTTCAGAGAAAACAAGATGATATTAAGCAAAATATTCTCCCAATAAATAAGCCATTTATTGCCTCCCCTTTTCTGACACAGATTTTATCCTACTGCAATACAGAATTATGTTTTTATTTAAAAAGTGAAATACATTATGCTTTTGGGTAAATATGTCAGGAATAGCAGAAACAAGATAGTTTGGTAGCCATATGTCACAATCTATTCTCAGCAGCAGGTATTCCAGATCATGGGCCAGTTAAGGAATGTCAAGGAGCAGAGAGGACTGGCTGCTCTGAGGAGGGGTTGCCCCATACAATCACAGAACAGGTCTCTGGTCCACCCAGGAGACAAGAGTGCAGGCCAGCACCTCAACAACATCACTCACACAAAGGGCCCCAGGACTGGATCTGAGCTTATAAGAGATTTCTGGGCCATAAGTGGGGTGAAGGTCCCTGATGAGCTTAGTCAGGTCAAGGAAGGGCTGCACACAGGGTGCACGTACAACAACAACAGCAAAATGTTTGGGAATTCCAGTAGAATCACAACAACAACCACTTGAGTCCTACTTTATAATAGGAAAAAAGATGGAATAAAATAGGTCCTTAAACACGCAAGGACAGGTAAGGAAGACGTGCAGAAATAGCACAGTGCTCTCTGGTGGTGTAGTTTCCAAGCTCCCAGGTACAAGGAATGAAGCATGATCCTGCAGGTAGCTAAAGGGCTGGGGATGTACCCAGAGCTCTGTCTGGTTCACAATATACTGTTGGACAAGGGTTTTGTCAACACACTCCATTAACCCAAACCCTAAATGGAGATAGACGTTGCAAGGTCCTTGGAATTAGTATTGCATCACTGAAAAGTATTAATAATATTCCTACAATTCATGCTTGTAAGCTGTTTCCTCAGTTTTGGTACATTGCTTAATAAGGCACATAGCTCTTCTTTTGCCAGTGCACTTCCAATCTTAAATCCTGTCAAGCAGGATTTATGTGCTTTTCTTTCTAGTACAAAATGAGAAATACAACACTACATATTGTAGAACAATTCAGACAACTATTGTCTTGTTGTTTACACAGCCTAAATTACATGCTCGTTTAGTCATCGTGCAAAGTAACATTACAAGTAAGAGAAAAATCAGTAATTCAAATTCTGTCTCAAAATAATTACTTTGAGTAAGGCTTTCAGCTACTGTTAATTGGGGCAGAAGTTTGTCCATAATGATCTAATATTTAAAAGGAAGTAAGAAACAGCTCCTGTTCGTTGTTTTCCTTGGGCTGTGATGTAGACTCAGAGGAATTGTCTATGACAGAGAATTGTTTATATTGGGAATTAGAGGGTTTTATTAGATTTAATTACAGTGGATTTTCTCCCACGTAGTAGAAGCTACAGAATGGAAAGTCAGTCATCTGCTTTTAAGCAGGATCATCATAGTTAGAGATAAAAAAGAACAAATTATTGAGCTCATCCTCTTGAAAAGGCTACAGTTCCCTTATATAGGATATACTGAATATTGAGCTTATATTCCATGGAACAACAGCTAAAAATCCATTTAATAAGGAGGGGCTCACCCTTGAAAAATGGATTGCATAGAATTTTGTGACATTCAGATCTTTCATTCAAAACAAAATGCTCTCATATTTTTAGTTATTTACACTGTCATTTCTAGTAATATTATTTTATAATTTCCAAGCTTTGACAAGTTTCTCTCATGAAGAGAAATTCTACTATAAAGAATCCAAGCCATGTAAAAATACATTAAAAAATAGCCCACATTTTAATGTAAAAAAAAAAAAAAGCATTAAAAAAATCTCAGCCTTATCCAGAAATATGGTCTCAGATGTTTTAAAACTTTGCCTGAATTTATAGCTGATGGCATAAATATTTGGCAGGTGGTAGCACAGTTAGCATGGGTGATTCTCTGTGTGGTGCAGAAAACCTTCCATTTGACTCCACTGTATTCCCTAATCAAAGGGAACAGTTTGATCACTGACAGATCATTTAGAAGAGATGGCTTTAGCATCAGACTTACTCTCTTTGAAATAAAATCAGTGAGACTGTCAGGCTGTTAAGAGAATATGTGCTTTGCCTTTTTGACTTTTTTTTTTTTTAATCATACTGTGAATATATAAAATGTATTCACTTTTCTTCACAAGATGGCAGGCTGGGAGGCACCAGACAGCCTATGGTATTTCTGTTATGGAGCAGAAGTCTGCATGTGGCCATCCCTCCATGGGAAGTACAGTTTTGTGGCACAAGGCTTGAACATTCACTGCACTGAGGTTTTTTTTTTCCCTAACTAGCTTGTCTGCAAGTATGTGCTCTCTTCCACAGAAGACTGTTACTGGTGTGATCATCTGGAAAACTTCCTACTTCCAAAGGACTACCCCTTGGCACAACAATGCTGTTAACCCTCTGGCAACTTACAGGAGCCACTGCTGCCCACTACAGCACATACAAGTCTCTCTTGATTCAGTATTAGAAGTTTACAAGCCATCCTGCTGGCTCACAGCTCATTAAGACATTTATATGCAATCTCATCCAGGGCCAAATTGCAGGTTATAAACTAATTTACACAAGTTGCCTATTCTGTCTTGCAGATGTGCCTGACCAGGGCCACAGATAACCAAGAAGAACTTGCAGGCAGACACAGGAGCCAGATTGCACATATTTTGTGGAGCTCTAAGTTTTGTGAATTGAGAGTATGTGGAATTTGAAACATTATTGATTAGTTATAATCATATATCTACTAGTAAAAGTCTCTTCAGTAATGTAATTAATTAGCAATGCCTTTATGTTCTTGCTCTCTAAGTATTTTGCACACAGTGTTATCTCTCTGACGATCATCTTCTGCTTGTGTACAACTTAATGAAACTTTAAGGATTACAAGTACTTGCTCAGATACATTTTGTGTTAATTAAGACAACGCAGTAAAGGGAAGAGAACTACATAAACAACCCTGAAGCAGTGCTTTTAAAATGTAACCTAAATTTCAGTAAGCTTAATAAGCAAATTCTTAAATATAAACCTTTACTTTGATTTTTAATTATACTTTTTAGAAACATTATTTACATCAAAACTTTTAATGCATATTGTCCAACTATGCAGGGTTCTTTTTTGTGTGTTTATTTTGATCTTTTGAGTAACAATAAAAGAAACAAACTGTTTTGTGCAGAGTTTGAATTTTAAAATGTTATGTGATGTTTTGTATAAATTTTTCATTTAAACAAAATATAATCTGAAATACTTTCAGGGAGAACTGATACCAATACATTTGCAGACAAGGGACCACTACCCTTCAAAAAAAATTGGAGCAGAAGAAGTTATCAAGCCAGAATGATAACAAACATTTGCCTTTCAAAAATCCAGAGTGAACAAATGAATGCAAAAGATGAGATTAATTTATGGTTATAAGTTCTTCAGGTGCCAAATCAAAATAGTTATTCTTCCTGGTTCTTGTGACAGGGCTTACTGTGAACAAATATTTTCTGGAAATTCAGACAGAGACAGTGCAATTGTACTATAGAAGGCTGACAAAGGTCTCAAGTCTTCCCAGGCTCAGACATTATTGTTTTACCCCAGGTTCCTGCATTTGCAGCTAGGGAGAAGAAAAGCATACAAAGAGCAGTGAAAAAGCTGGCCACTAAGCAATGCTGCACTCCTGCTCCAAAACATCCCTCTACACAAAAGGGTAAATAAGGACTCTGCGGACTTTGTGTTCTTACTGGGAGAAGTTCCTGCTTAAAGCAACAATCCCATCATACACCATTCACTGCGGGGAAAACAAAGTGGTCCCCGGAAGGAGAGACAAACAAAACTTTCTGCTGTCCTGCCTAAGGACACGCTATGGGCCATGTGGCACTGGGCCTCCCCTGCTCACAGATGCTACACAAATTCAATTACACTGAGGAGTGCTTCAGTCAAACCCCACAGTGCCTGGCTCAGACATGCAATTAGTTCCATATTCTATTACAAACACACCCATACTTTCATGGGCCTGAAGCTAGCACATATTCAGGGCTTCACTACATCTACTCTCTCTAAATGTTTCTCTTAATTATCTTTGGTCCCCAACAGAGGCTTGAGGCCTTCCTCATTTGCTCTTTTTTCCACTATGGTTGGTTAGATTCCCAAAGCAAGAGTCTGAAATGGGTTGGGAAGACACAAGTAAACAAATATTCTTCCAAATGCACAAACTTTTTTTTTGATTTTTAGTGGTGTTAGAAATGCCATATTAACAGCAGCATGAACACTGTTGCAGATGTATATTCACTGATTCTGTGCTTTGGTTGCTCTAGGCAGAACAGTCCCAGTTCCCCAGGCACACTCCATGCATCTGGTACACCACTAACAGGATACCTGAATTATTGGAAGCTGGAAATTCTGGCATACATCTTCTAGATACAGAACACTAAGCATCAACTCACTTCTCTTATGTAAAAATGGGCTCAACAATTAAATAGAAAAACTTCCTGTACACTTACAGAGGTGGTGGCATTTCTCTAAGAATTGTTACAAAAGCTGTACCTCTCAGATTCTGGGAACACTAGAAATAAAAGAGCAGAAAAGAAAATGTATTAGCCCTCACGTCTTCATGTTGTAATTACTACTCTTGTTTATCCAGGTATGGATAAACCTCTTACCTCTTTCACTGAGGTACTAAGTGGAAATGGTGGTCGTCACAATTCTCCTCGGATTCTCTCTATATGCATGGTCCTGAATTCATAGGAAAGCACCTATTTATTTCAGTCGGCTTGAAAAGCGTTTCTTGGGTGTCACCAGAGTTAATATTAAGATCAGTCTGCACTGGTGACAGGAAAATCAGAGGTTGCAATGTACAGTTGACACAGTTCAGGGAATGTGAGATTTGTAGTAATTTTACATGTTGTCTAGTATCCAAAAAAATCACACTACATGTTTCTAAAATATCTTACTCAATTTTCCCTCATCCTGAGATGGTCTAATTCACACCCGAAGTACGCATGGTGTTGAAGACACCATGTCTTGGCTCTAGCCTGTCAGCTAACTCAGCTCACATGAACTACAACCAAACTTTTGCAAGGTACGAACGTGTCTGTTCCCTCCAGCCGTGTTTCGCAGCTAGCACTGCCCAGGCTCTGCGGCTGTCCGCAATCCCACCGCGCCGTGCCCAGCGCCGTGCCCAGCGCCATTCCCGGCCGGCAGCTCCGTGCCCAGCGCCGCCTCAGCCCTCTCGCCAGAGGAGGCGCCCGCCGCCGGCGCCGCCCGCGGCTCTCGCGGGAAGATGGCGGCTCTCGCGAGAGGCGGCGGCGCGGCTGCCGGTAGCTATGGCAGCGGGGGATGAGCGCGGCCGGCGGGAGCCGCGCGCGGGGACGGGCAGGGACTGACGCCGCCACCGGAGCACGGCGTGTGGCTCTCCTGCCCTCCCGGCCCCTCAGCCGGAACCGCAGCCAGACCCGGCTGTTCACTGGCTGCTTGACCGTGTGCCCGGAGCCTCGCCGGTGGCGACCCCGCTCTGCGCTGTGGCGCAGCCCCCGCCTGCTCGGCCGGGCCGCAGCGGGGTCCGTGCGGGACCCGGCCGGGCCCCCGCCAGCTCCGGCGGGACCGTGAGCGAGAGGCCCCTCCGCTCTGCACGCCCGCGGAAGAGAAGGGGAGTAGCAGGTACGAGAAAACGAGAATGCTAGAGGCTAGAAAGGTATTTGATTAGCGGGGTGTTTGAAATAATCGGGGATGTTGTATTATCTTGGTTAATAACCCAGGCGTGATCCGCTGCCGTCAAAAGTTAAACTTGCATTGGAGTTGTTGTTGGTTAGAGGAACCTCCTCAGTATTTAATTTACTATGTTGGTCTAAGGTAGGCAAAACCATGTGCTTTCCCCCCCCCCCCCCCCCCAAAGAAATCAGAAGCTCTTTGCCTTGCCAGAGTCGGATTTTTCTTGAAACCTTTCTTTGAGTAGAAGGATTATGAGTGGACATTCGGGAGGATTACAGCCATAAATAGAAAGCATAACAATATACACCCTCTGCTTTCAAAAAGTTGCAGGCACAATGGCTTTCTGGTCTTTCAGCTATGTGAACTTCTTATGGGTATTGTAACGGGTGATCTTGTGTGTTAAAATATTCAAAAAGCTTTTCAGATTTCAGAACAAATTCTGAGGGTTTTGGATAAAAGATGCATGTGAAAAGGGAGGGAAAATAGTTGTGTATTTCTCATGCAGCTTGGAAGAAAGACGTGTAGTGAAAAAAAATTTCTCTAAGCTTGTGCTACTTTTCAGACTTGAAAAAAAATCTACAACAGGAAGATTTTGTGCTGCAATATACTTGACACCGAGTAGCAGTTTTGGAAAACAGCAGCAACATTGATAGCCTTGTGTTTGTTTCAAGAGTGAAGGAAAGAAATGCTGTGCCAAGAACTCAACTGGTGAGGTAACACAGCTCATGAGTATGACAGCCCTTAAAAATAATTAGAAAAAGTCTTATGGGCTGAAAAATATTTGTCAGCCTGTTGAAATCTGTCCTCATTTAGGAAGTGATAGAAATAATAACAGTTTAATTAGATAGGATAGTCTCTAAAATCTATTCCATCACTTAAAGAAAACTATATCTAATCAAGCATGTTGCATATCATTCAGACTGGATTAAATAAGAGCTTTATTGCTTGTTTGTTTCCTTCTCACCTGGTAATGTCACCTATGAAGTCTTTTGCCCCAATGTTCTTGGGGTGCAGTGAGGAATAAGGGTGTGCCTGATTTGTCCAGTGCAGACAAATTTAGTTATCCCCGAGAATTTAGACATTTTGGAGGCAGCTGTAAAACATTTCAGTTCATTGTTTTCAGGCATTGCAGGTAAGAAATATGCCAGTTCTTCTCTCAGTTCTGGGTTAAGTGTCTATTTTGAGACTGTAGTCACAAGTTCGTTAAAAAGGATAATGGGAATTTAAATCCTTCTCTGTGTAGTCTTGGAGATGTTATTAGGGATTAAGCCTTCTTAGGCAAGTTTTTATGGACAGTGCATAGAAGAGAAAGTGGTTTTATTTCCCAGTTTGTGGAACTTCAAAAAGTTTGTTACCTTGAAAGGCTCATTGAGTTTGATGGCTCTATAAACATACCTATGTAGAGAACTGTTGTGTCCATCCAGAATCATTTTTGGTCCAGCCATGCAAATTGCAACAGATTATATAAAAAAAAGAAAAAAAATTAGGTAAGAGGATGAAAGAACCAATTAAAAGTCACAGCTATTGTTTGTTTTTGTGATTTTTTTTTTAAATTTTCTTACCTAACTTCAGAACCAACAAAACTGTCATATAATTAACATACCTGTTGATACCTGTGGAGCTTAGCAGTATTTTCATTTTTTCTCATGCAGACTTCTGAATACTTTATACATCCTTCACTTTCCTGACATATGTTCTACACACATTTATTCAGTTTATTTTAATTTGTTCTCTGAAATACTTCTTGTTTGCTTTAAATTTCTTTCTTTTCTGTCAATAGTGGCTGCAGGCACAATTGCAAAGCCATCTTCTATTCTGTCACTGAAGGTCATTCCCTAGAAAAGATATGCAGTGCTTGATCGCAGAGAGGAACAGCATGAAATTTTATTACTGACTGTCAAAGAATTTTGATTGGCTTGCTTGGATCTCTCTATTGGTCTTGTTAATTGCAAGTCAAGCAGTAGGCAATCCCCAGTGTTTAGGTTTTTGCCTTCTTCCCTTCATCTGTAGGCAGCCCCATTCCCTAGGCTCATGCTCTGTGTGTGAGACTGCTGGGAGGAGCCATCTCCTGGTGTAGTCTGGACACTTTCTAAGACAAATGATGCAATGTAGTCAGTCTCTTATTGTCTCTCTTGACATACAAGTTTACTGTGCAGTTCATGTCTTCTCTTTTTCTGTTATGTCACTTGATCCATGGAGTTCCTTGTTCTGGGACCAGGGAAGGTTGGGTAGGTTTGGGTGCACCTCACCAGCCACTGTCTATGGGACACTGTGGCCAGACTAGGATATGGCTGGGCTGTGCTGCTCTGGTTTTATGGCAATAGACTGTATACCAGCTCGATTACTCAGCTTGCAGAACCTATGTACAGTCATTCAGCTGGGAAGTTAACCTGTTGAGCCTTTCCTAAAGTTACAGTAAGTGTTTTATATCTGGAGTTATTGGAAAAGGAAGGAAAAACTTCAGTTTATCAGCACCTCAGTAAAAACCAAGGAACTTGCAAGAGGCTCTTACTTTTTTGATACTTTCCAAGATTTGTGAGTTGTATGTGTTCTGTTATAATCTCAAATATTAGGAGTAACATTGTGTGTTCATAGGACGTAAAACTTTCAGTAGATTTTGTTGTCTAGTGCCCTAAGTTTGTGAAGTAAAGATGATCTTAAAGGTACTGCATTAAAAATAGGTGTGTCTATTCACTCCTGTAGCACTGATTGCTTAGTGAAATGGAGAACTGGGGTACTTGCTGAGTGTTTCTTGTGATTGCTCCCAATCAAGTAAGAGTCAAAGGAAAGAGCTGGATGTGGTTTTGAGGCTTAAAACCATTTTTGTTTAAATTATGAAAGCATGTGGAAAATTATGTACTGTGGCATAATCCATACTTTTTCTAACATGATTTTGAAGAAATACTGTAAAAATATGGCTTCTCTATTATTATTCTTGATAACTTGTAAATAAATCCATTTCTGAATTAAAGCTGTCTTCAAGCAATATTATGCAATGTTGCTGCTACAAGTGGTGTTAAAACATTTTGACTACAAATACATCATAACAACATGGGCAGTAAATTTAATATTCTTTTTATAGAGTACTGTGACCATTTTCTTCAAAACTTTCAACCTTAAGAAACACACCTTTGAACAAGGTATCCAAAGAGATCTTTAAGCTGGACTGTGAAATTTCAGACCTGCATATTGGTCTTTTCTTTCTTGTCTTTTCTTTATTAATAAAAGCTCTGAAAGCTTTGTACTTGTACAGAGGAAATTATAATTGGTATCTGGGAGTCAGAAGTAACCTTTATCCACAGAATGATGTGTTGTGCTACTGGTGCTATAATTTTCACTGTTCCTTTGGCACTCTCCAGAGACTCTCTGCTGGAGATGGTATCTGAGGAGGAAGAGATTACTTCTGTTTGTTCATTTTTTTGTTATGTTGCTGGGGTTGTTTTCAGAAATGCAAACTGACGTTTTGAATTTTGAGTTTGATGAGAGCAAGACTGAGCCTGACAAATCAATTTGCAATGGCCAGGGCCGTCAGATGATAATAGCTTGCCTTCATTACCGACCAGTTTAGATTTGAACCAATGACCTAGAGGTGAAAAGCTCAGTATTGTATTACAAATCCTCTGATCTATCCATATGTTCTCTTGTTTAAGGTCCCTGTAGCCCTCTTAAACAGAAAATGCAGTAAATATTGAGCATCATTTGCACTTGTAAATATTAGAACAGTGTCCATTCCAGTTGTCTGCTGTGCGTGTGAGGACACTGCAGTTAAATATAGTAACAATTTCTTACACTCTCTGGCTTTTCATGAGAAACCCTCATACAGATCCAACCATATGGCAGAACCCAGCATTATCCTAAAACCATTAACAAATAACCTTTTGCTGCCATTAATGGGAAAATGAATCTACAGCTCTAAGTAGCCTACTGGCAGTTACTAACAACATCAGGCTACTGCTAAGAAAATGAACTTAAATAAAATATCATTAGGAGCTGAGTCATCCCACCAACACTTCTACATGTTGTATCCAAGTTGGTATTTATCTATGAAAGCTTTTTTAGAGTATGTTATCTTTATTTCTCCTCTACTTTTTTCTTCATTGATATCTTTAAAGCTGTAAAAAAGCGTAATGGAAAACCATTTGCATGGATTTCATAAAATAGATTCAAAAAGTAATTGAAATGTCCAGACAGGCTCATAAACTATTTTCCCATTCATTCTGAGGTGAGATGTTTCTAGGCAACCTAGTGAGCAGGTGGTCAACAAATGTAAATCCTTGGGTAAGTGATTCTTTGTTTCTAAGGCTATAAAGTTACTGTCTACAAGTCACAGTTTCTGTGAGCTACAGAAATAATAAAATTAACATTTGTATGTATTTGGATTGTCTTTTTATCTCCTGATCCCTTCTCCTCCAATCCTCAATCTCATTCGACTACATATCAACAGACACTGCTGTTTCTGTATGGATTGATCTGCTGCCAAATCAAATATAAAGAGGTGAATTTCCTATTTTCCCCTCACTGTGAGAGCAAATTGGGTATTTTTTCACTACCTGACCATTACTTTTCATGTAGTTTATAGGAACAGAGGTTATTTTTGAGACCTCTGGGGTTTTTATTTCAAAATGTTGAAACTTGGCCAACTGATTCAAAAGGTATTGGTGGGAAACCTGTTTTAATCATATGCTACTGTGGGCAACCAAAAGAAATTAC